AAAAAAAAAAAAAAAAATAAAAAACTAGTAGCAGTAACACAAAGCAAAAAAATATTAATCTCCCAAAGATTACTTGTACAGTGGTATTAATATTATTGTCGAAGCTACGATGTATATTTCATTACCACACAGCAGAAAAACTTGTTAATTACTAGCGAACTTCAGTACATAAGAAACCGAGATTGTAATTATAATCACTTCATTTCTAGTTTCATTCGAGAGTACAACAAGCCTCTAAAGACCCAGCAAACATATTAAAGTTGCCTATGTGATTCAACACAATTTACAAAAGCCTTAAACAAAATAAAGAGGACATCAACTGAGCTGGTATGCAAAAACTTGAGAACCTCATATTGATTGCATTTTTTATGATTACATCAAGTTCAGACTGTACAAGGCATATACTTGTAAATATAACACCCAGATGGTTCATACCTATATTTGGCATATCGCGGATCTTGATCAAGATGGTGCTGTAAATATGATAAATCGAGTACATCCGTGTAGAAGTCAAGGTTGAAAGCTGCAATAACAAACAAAGATTAAGGACTTCCATAACGTCTAAAACTTTTATGGTAGGCTTCACGAGAGAAGAATCCAAAATTTGCTTGTAATATCAAAAACTATAAAATTACTCCCACCAAGCTTGCCATAGCTTTCAATCAGATCAATCTTAGACAATACATTCACATGAGGGAGCTCCAAGTGCACCATGGTTGACAATGAAAGAAGCAAAGCACTTACATACTTCCCAGGATCACTACAAAGATGGGCATCAACTAAATGCACAGCAGTCAACTGCAAAAAAGAATTAAAAACAAATAAAATAAATAAGAGAAGTCAAGGTTATGCCGTGTGTCCACTGAGATCCATGATAATGAGATAGCTGGTGAGATTAAAAAACATACCCTTAGATTTAACTTCTGTATGAGTTTCATTATTACTCTCTTTGCATTTTCATGAAGGAAAAAGAGTTCCACTTGTCCAGGGAAATCAAAGAGGAGGTAGTGATCTGCAAAGTTATGCTAACTTGAAGCTATGATCAACGTCAATTCAAAAAGTGCAACAAACTAAAATAAATTGGGTTTTAGATAAGAAACAAAAAGAAGAAAAAAAAAAAAAA